ATCCACTTTTGATTTGATATTTAATGGTATCTTGAAAGACAGTCCGTAAATGCTTTAACCCTCGTCCTGCGGGGGCCGGGTTTATGTTGCCCGATAAGACTATTTTGGCACCTCGCCTGCGTTCTGGTCCCGGGTCAGTCTAGATCTAGCCCCTGGCTCAGCGCACGCGCGCCGAGCATCATCTCATGTTTAATTCGGGTCCAGCGTCGGATACCCATTCACGCAGGTCAAGTGTGTGTGCGTCAGTCTGCTTGAGTTTGGATGCATTTGTGGCCTTCTTCTAGAACCGCCTGCGTTGGTTCGTAATCGGGGCATACGTCTCATTCAAAACACGCCAAGTTGGTAGCCGTAGATATTTGTCCAATGAAATTATAGAAGAAATTGACCCACTTAGACATGAGGAGCTCGAAAGGATAGTCAGGAAACAAGACTTCCATTTTCAAATGAGCTTGATTTTGTATGAAATGATACTACCTGATAAAAAAATTAAGCTTGTTTGATAGTTTTGAATACCATTGTGCAGGTACAAAGAGCAATCTGAGTGCAAAACATTCGGAAATAGACCTATATTATCCCCTTTCGAACCCCAGGTCATTATAGCAACAAGAGCGTCTAGAAAGGTTATTCGAATGGGAGTAACTACTCGTAATGTCTTTTATCAGCTTGTGAGAGGGGGTTATTCATGTGTTTGTAACACTTTAAGGTAGCATAAACACGGCCTCGCGGGCACTCGCGGCCTTCCGACCGCGTGGTATCGGTGAAATTGGGGTAATTCCGATGGCTGTTTCTTTGCTCTTTTGCTATAAAACACCAAATGCCGCACACCTTGTAAAAGTTTAGCTTTTCCTCGTTACAATGGTGTATACTGTTGTTATGTCCGATTATTAGGAGCTGGAGAATCGCAGAGGAAAGCGAAGCCCCTCGCGGTCGGAAGGCGTGGTCAGCCGGTTCAAAAATTGACACGAGTGCATTCAAATGCTTTGCGGAACGAGGGATGATTAAATACCGTCTTTTCATTGGCGGAGAACTGTAGAGCTTTAAACGGGCTTTCCCGTGGTATATATTTGGCCTTTGGCGTTTAAATAGAAAGCCTTTAAAAACACCGTCAAAATTTTAAAAGATAATTTTTTATTCAAAATATGTAAAATACCGACTCAAAACTGGTATCTCTGAAAAGATTAGTTTATTTCCTGTTAGAATAAAGTAAAATTAGCGTGGAATTATTTTGCATCAATCCTTCCGCGTGACTCAGAAAGCATGTGACCCCGCACGTGGTGCACACTACAGTATAGAGCCGACTCGCTCGCCGCGGGGGCAGCTGCGGCACCGGCAGGGTCAACGCTCGGTGTTTTTGTCCAAGTAAGATCAGATCGTCGTGTTTGAGGCGATAAAATACAGATTTCTAATGATCTCACAGTCTTGAAAAAAATTAAGCTCCATATATATTTGTTGAAGTGATTGTACTCTTTTAATGTGTAGATGTTTAGTGCACTTGGTACTCTTTTATTATCTGTCAAACATGGGGTTGCAGCCAGAGACTGACTTTAACAAATTTGATCAAATTTTAAACAACTACCATTTTCTTAAAAATTGACTGAGATGTTAAAGAATGGTACCAACATGCTCAGTGGATATATAGGCCTATCAAATGGAACAGATAAATTTGGCATACAGCTACTTTGAAAATTTAGTTTCTGATACCTACTTTATAAATCAGAGTGGTTATCCGTACAATTGTGCAAACAACTCTGTGTCTAGTTATCTGTACAACATTGTAGCATACAATTGTGCGAACAACTCTGTCTAGTTATCCGTACAACATTGTACACACAATTGCTACACCATTGTACGAATAATTGCTACAGTTATCCGTACAATAATAGGCCTACATGCCCACAGGCCTACGCCTACATGTCCACTATGGCTGGATTGTGGGTGGTTGGCGGGTGCTCTGGTGTGGTTTGCCTCTTCTTTCCTATCAAACATCTATCGTCCTTATCTCCCCTTCTTCATGTTTGTTACTCTCTTGTAACACCTCTAATCTTCTGGCGCTCTGACCTTATGATCGGGCCGATCTCCCGACTCGATCGCCTGAAACTGAAAACAAACACGTTTGTTTTTGAGGCGATCAGCTGATCCCGTCTGTAGTGGGCACCCCGTAACACACGTTTGTTTTTGAGGCGATCAAGTAGGGCGATCGACCCGATCGGCCGATCCCATCCATAGTGGGCTCCCCGTATTAGATATAGAAATCTAGATCTAGATTCTAGATCAGTGTTTCCAATGGTGACCTAGGCTTATTTTTACCATCAACCTCCAAAATTCGGAACCGTGCTGTAAAAATATTTAAGCTTAATCTACCTCATTCTGTTGATAGTTTTGATGGCCGATATGACAGCGTGTCTGTGTTTAAAAAAGTATTATATTATGAGTATGAGTTCGAATCCCGGTCCCGAAAGTTTGTTGTTGTTTTTTTTCTTCTTCTCTCTCCTCCCCCGACTTACCAACAATTTTTTCCCCATAATTGTTTGTTTTGACTTTAAAAATTTCCACTCAAAGAATAAGCATAACAGATTCTAGTCATAATAATAGATCTAGATCTTATATTTTAATAGAAGTATAGATCTAGATCTATCCTACTTTTCCTACCAATTTTTGGCCTCGTTAAAGTTATTAATATTGATGCTCAACCCAGGGGAGAACCGGATGACTAGGTCTAGGTTTATTTTTACCAACAACCTCCAAAATTCGAATAATTGTACGAATAACTCTGTCTAGTTATTAGTACAATTGTACTAATAAATAACTAGTTAGAGTTGTACGCACTATTGTACCAATAACTGCAGCCTTATAAGTAGAAAGCTATGAAAGATAGAGCGTTATAAGGTTATTTTCATCATCGATTGACACACTCCCAGGGTGTTCATGGCAAAAACACACGTTTCTCTGCGCGCGCGTTGTACACCAACAGTACACCCTGAGTGACCCCGGCGGCCTGCCCGGAATCTCCGACGTAATCAGTTGCTGATAAGATTCGCATCTCAGCACAGACGCAGGACAAGAGTTAAAAAGCAGTCTCATTTTATCAACACTATTCACCTTCAATTATGCACACCCGAGCACCCCCCCCCCCACACACACACACACACACACACACACACACACACACCCCCACACACACACACAACATATACACACACACACACTTGTTTTTCAAATATTATTACCTGGTATCACCAAAAGCAAGCCCCGCTCTATGGTAACTACATGTACCGGGGTATTGTTTGTCTTTTGTTTTCCTTTTTTGTCTTTGCATTACCCGTTTTGGGGCCAAAATACCTGATACTGACCCTGAATTTACCTGTAATGGAAACTTTGAAGTGGGCAACCCTGTGTTCGTGTAAAATGAATAAAAACGAACAAGAAAAGGGCTTTACAATACCTGAACATGAGACGGGAATGAAAGTAAAAGTATGCCTAAAAACCATCTAATGTTTCAAAAACCAGATTCTAATTCTAATAATTTGCGATGGATACAAATTCAGTTATATTCATTATTATAACGGATAAAAATCAACAAGAAAAGTACTATTCCGGAGCATGAGACAGGAGTGAAAATAAATAATACCTACTTACCTAGGCAATTAGCCACAATTTCAACTGTACAATGTATAATTAGGTAGCGTAAACATGGCCTCGCATGCACTCGCGGCCTTCCGACCGCGTGGTATCGGTGAAATCGGGGTAATTCTGATCGCTGTTTCTTTGCTCTTTCGCTATAAAACACCAAATGCCGTACACCTTGTAAAAGTTCAGCTTTTCCTCGTTACAACGGTGTAAGTTGTTTATATGTCCGATTATTAGGAGCTGGAGAATCGCAGAGGAAAGCGAAGCCCCTCGCGGTCGGAATGCGTTGTCGGCCAGTTCAAAAATTGACACACATACATTCAAATGCTTCGCGGAATGTGGGATGATTAAATACCGTCTTTTCATTGGCAGAGAACTGTAGAGCTTTGAACGGGCTTTCCCGTTGTATATTTTTGGCCTATGGCGTTTAAATAGAAAGCCTTTAAAAATACCGTCAAAATTTTCAAAGATAATTTTTTACATGAAATATGTAAAATACCGGCTCAAAAAAGGTATCAATAAAAAGATCAGTTTATTTCCTATTAGAATAAAGTAATAAGCTTGGAATTATTTTTCATCAGTCCTTCCGCGAGACTCGGAAAGCAAGTGACCCCCCACACGGGGTACAGAACAGTAAAGAGCCAACTCGCTTGCAGCGGGGGCTGGTGCGGTGCCGGCCGGGTCAACACTCTGTGTTTTTGTCGAAATAACGACAGATCATCGTGTTTGAGGGGATGAAATACTGATTTGTAATGATCTCACAGTGTTGAAAAAATTAGGCTCCATATATTTGTTATAGTGACTGTACTCTGTTAATGTGGAGATGTTTAGTGCACTTGGTACTCTTTTATTATCTGTCAAACATGGGATTGCAGCCAGTGACTGACTTTAGCAAATTTGATCAAGTTTTAAACAACTGCCATTTTCTTAAAAATTGACTGTGAGGTACCGAAATGCTCACTGGATATAGGCCTTTCAAATGGAACAGATAAATTTGGCATACAGCTACTTTGAAAATTTAGTTTCTGGTACGTAATATAATAATAATTTTTAAAAAATAAATAAATGCTATACCACCATGCTTTTAACTGGCACCATCAAGACACAGTATCTTGGCACTTGGTGGACTCGTTATCTCTATTCAACATGTAATTGTGTAGTCTGAAGTGTAACATGTTGGCCAAATGATTTTTTCCCCTTATTTTTAATAATATTATTTGAGTCTGGGTGCAATCTTAGTCCTATCTTTTACTGTTTAAAAGAAAATTGTTTTCCAGAGGATGACATTTTTTTCTGAAAATGAAGCAACCAAGACTTTAAAAAATTGTTTTTGTCTATTCCACCATTCTCATTCTTGATTTTTGTCTCCTCAGTTTTGTCTAAGAACAAGGGAAAGCAGAAACATGGCTCAGTTTGGCAGTGCTGATTTGAAAAGTGAAAAACTTGCAGATGAATTCCTGCAGTGTCCCCTTTGTTTTGAGCAGTTTATTAGTCCTAAAGTGTTGCCATGTCAGCACACCTTCTGCCTAGCTTGTCTGCGAGGTTATGTAGTTGCAAGAGCTTTCTACAATTCTTTGCCGTGTCCGTTGTGTAAAGAAGTGGCTGAAATTCCTGGAAATGATGTGGGCAATTTAAAAAACAATTTCATGGTCGTTAATCTACTTCAGTTTGTGCAAAGCTCGAAGAAGGCCACAGAAGAAGAGTGGAGAGAAGCAGAGCCCACTTCAGTGTTGTCCATGACCAGCACCGACGTGAGGGAGTGCGGAGCGTGTAACGAGCCCGGCCGTCTCTCCAGCTATTGTCACATGTGCTCCATGTGGCTGTGCAACATCTGCTCCAAGGCTCATCGCAGGGTGCCCTCCACTGCCCCACACCCGCTTGTCAGCAATGAAGAGGTGGACAGGCAGTGTAAGGAGATGGTTCTTCAGGGGGAGATGAGAATCAGTGGGATGCAGGTGGAGAATGTAGAGAAGCAGGATTTCTACCTTTGTCAAATGCGACAGCTTCCTGAAAATATTGAAGCTGTCAAGTCTAAAATAAAGTCCTCAGCCAAAGAAGCACAGGAGACAATCAAAGAAAAGATGAAAGATCTTCTACAAAAAGTGGAGACTTTCTCGAGGGGTCAAGAGAGTGTATTGTCACTCAGGTTGCATGAAGCTGAGGAAAAGAAGAAAAGTCTTGATAACCTCCAGGAGCTTCTGAACATGGTTAAGATTTCTAGTGATGGACAGAGCAATCAGCATGCCATCAAGTCAGTAGAGGAGTTTTTGACAAATAAATCAGTGTCTGAGCCTCATGTTTCAACAGAAAAGACTGTCAGCTTAGTGTTCACACCCTTTGGGAACAGTCTTGGTGAGCTGAAAGGGTTGGAGATAGGGTGTTTGCGTAGAGTTACCAACTCTGCAGTCACTCGTTTTTTGAACGACCGTCCACTGGGAGTGAACAAAGAGGCATGTCTAGTTGAACGAGAGTATATTAGTGCCCTGGCTATAAACAAACTCGCTCACAAATTCGTTGTAGCTAACAATAGGTCAGTCTTAGTGTTAAAGCACAACAGTAAAGCACCGCAGCCATTTTTGTCTGCTCTGTCTGAGAGGAATGTGACCAGACCGTGGGGAATAGCTTACTCTGTGGAGGATTGTCGAGTGTTCATATCTGAGGCAGGAGAACACGAAGGAGAAGGGGCTGTGATCTCCTACAATCATGATGGCGCTTTCCATTCTGTCATCGCTTCGGGGCTCACTTTGCCTCGTGGCATCGCTGTCCACAAGAATTTAGTTTTTGTCTGTGATCAGATCGACAAATGTGTGTACATCATGAATGTCTGGGGTAAAATCATTCGCCTTGTGAAGAAGACTCCTGGCGGCCAATTTCTCTTCAATGGACCCATGTTCGTCTCTGTAGGCAAAAGTGGAACTTTCGCTGTTTCTGACAACTGCAACTCTGTAAAAATATTTGATAAGGACTGCAATCATCTCTTCACGTATACTTCAGAGCTGGCGGACTCAGAGTTTTGGGACGTACTGGTCCTTCAAAACGACACAGTGGTTGTGTGTGACTGGAAGCATGGCTTACACAAGATTTCACCCGATCATGCCAGTAATGGTCTGATCAGTATAGACTCGAGTGTTGTCATGAGAGAGCCATCAGCTCTAGCAGCCTTGAACAATGGTAATTCTATTTATGTTGGAACCTGCGGGGGAGAGATCTTTTCTGCCATTTGAATCATGTTGAGAGGGAATATAACAGGGATTTTGTTTTTAAGCTTGTGTTGTTTTAATTTAGTTGGCTGAGGACTTAGGCAAATATTTAGTTTTATCCAGGATAATCCCTTGCAAGACTTTTTGTCAAGATGAAATCTGTGGAATATTTTCCCCCATTTGGCAACTTGCTATCGAGAGTAGTTCTCTGTGTTCAAGTTCAAGGTCATATATATGTTGGGGCTTTTTGGGAGGGGCCTTAGTTAAAAATGTTGGCTGTTTCTAAGAACCACACTTTGATAGAGCACTTTCCTTACTTGTAAATTCAAATCATTTGCATGATTGGTGGTAAATTATGTTAGTAGTTTTAGTATGAATCGCTTTGATTGTGTTCTTATAGCTTGTTCACTTTCGTCTGACCGCATTAAAAAATTCTGGCTCATTGAGAAATTTACCCATGCTCACGAAACTTTGCCTGGCACTTCTGTAGGCCAGCGACCAAATAAAAATATTTTTTTAACAATTCTTGACCCAGCAATAAAAAAGCTTAAAATCTCTTTGGGCCCAATATTAAAAATCGCTCTTTGGATGCATACACAGGATCACTAAAATTAAATGACATACAGTAACCTAGCCCACAGATTGCTCCTTTCAAGACAGCGACACACTTCTGCCCCCTCATTTCAGTGTAAGCTTGTAGATTTCATTACCCGGCTGTCTTGACGTCTCTTCATGCTCCACATGAGTCTCGAAAATGACTCTCATTCTCTTGAATTGTGTTTCTTAGGCGTACGTTAGAGTGTCGTGTTGAGGAAAATATGTCAACTTTTAAATGTTTTAGATGTATGCTGTATATCCCCTATTATTTTTTTGATCCACTTTAGGCTTACATCAGAGAAAATGTGTCGGAACCTTAATTTGCAATTACTTTTATGAATGATCTTTCAGATTCTGTTGGTCATCCAACTTTTAGACCTGATGCAAAAATCTGAGAAGATTAAACAGAGCGATTTCATTTCTTATTTTAACCGGGGTTAGACGAAAGTGACCAAGCTATAGTCTGTTTGCCCTAGACTCAGATAGAATTATTTGAACATGGCTCTAGTATTTGCAGTGCTGTCACTCATGTGGTAATCATTTTGAGAAAAAACAAAAAATTTTAGCAGTTTACTAGTAACTCTATTACGTTAAATTTAAGTATGCCTCCAGGAAATACATAAACATGTAGTGACATTTTCTACACTTTTATAGATTTCTGTGATAGTTTATTGCAAGTTTTTTTTTACTGCCATGTCAGTTTTGATCCTATATGTTTTTGTTTTAAATTATGTTTGGAGATCTGCAGTAGCAGTAATTCACAGTTATTTTTACCACTTGAAATTGTTTTAGTCTCATATTAATATATGATTATAAATAATAAAATATAACTTACGGTGGAGCACAACTTTTTTGTCCTGAAGTTACTTGCAGTGACCAAAAATTTTCTGTTTGTATATTTTGAACTCTGAAAGTTTGAGAGACAAAAGTATTAGAATTAAAGCGTGGACAGTGGCTGTTGTTTTGTTACATATGTGAGTATTGTGAGGCAGCGAGGTGGAATCAGGCTCTCGCCAATTTTTGGGCATGTAGAGGTATTGCTTTCATCTTAAAGCTTGTTCACTTGTCTTTATTTGGATGAAAAAAATATCCATTTATCTTGAATAAAAGTCAAGATTTTTACGAATGAAGGAGGTGGGGGTGTCACCTCTTTTCAGAGGTAAAATTAGTCAGAAAATGGCCGCCAAAGATCAGTTAGTTCCTTAGCTGAAGAGTCCGTGGTAACTGAAAATTAACATTTTTTGTGCCTTTAATCAACGTTTTTCAGAAAAATCCACACAGAAATGAGTTCTTTAATGAATGGGCATGAAAAGTGGTGAGCTAAAAAACAAAAATATTGATAAAAATTCATAAACCTGCGGGGAAATGCAAATTTTTTCACTTTGGTTATTTTGACGAGAGCCTGATTCCACCACGCTTCCTCACATATTCATTTTATAAAATGCAAATCTATTGACAATGATAATTGATTGCATTTACTGTAGTGCATGTTCTGAGAAAGAAGGTTCCATGCTCTGTACCTAGCCTTTCACTGTTTTCTATATATATTTGTATACACAACTGACTTGCTTTTATAACTGTCATTTAGCTGCACAGTGCATGTAAAATTTTCTTCAAGTGGAAATGAATGCATACGTTTTTGAAGTGTCTGAACAAAATGGTGAGGCTTAGGCGACTGAAACATTTCTGGCCATATAATCATTTGCTGAGTATGTTAAGTTTAAGCAGGTCGTAAAGGTATAGTACAGGTATTGTACAGATTGATACAAAATGTATTTTGGATACTAATCCACATTGTTTTCTTCAGAGTAGAGTGTTGAACTTTTTGTTTGTGGTGGAAATGTTCCTCAGAAGTTCTCGCAAGCTGTAATATTGTTATCATCTTTTCCCTTTTCGTTTGGCCAAAGAAATCTGTTACTGTTACATTACACTACGATGGTTGGTCTATGCTCATGATCCCACTGTCCAACATCAAATTTTGCCGTAACAACTTTTTTTTTCTTTGGAACAGAGTTTTTTTGTACTTTAAAATTCATATGGTCTCCACTTTTCTACTACTTTCGAGCGATGTCTTATTGAGGTGATACATTCTTTTGCTTTGGGGGAGGGGATGAGGGTTTTTAAGGATAAAGAGGTAGACAGTGGGTTTTTCAAAGCCCAAGGTTGGATCTTATAGTATAACCAAATCCATCATTGATCAGTTGCATTGATGACATTTCACTCGGTACTGGTGGGTGCACAGGTGTGGTTTACTTCTTCTTTCCTGACAAACATCTATCGTTGTTATCTTGCCTTCTTTTTTGTATGTTACTCTTGTAACACCTCAAATCCTTGGCACTTGTATGACCTAGTTGTGATGCTAGCGCCATGAAACTCACGAAAACATAAAATGTGTCTCTGTACAGGACTCACTAAATCCCCCTCCTAATACTCCTATTAATTTTTTTGGTATGGGGAAATGGTTCTGACCCCATGATGGGTTGTTTCCTAGTGTAATCTGGCTGAATCCTACACATCGTCACTGTCGCAAGCTATCCACTTAAGTCAAAATTTTAAGAATTTTCGTTGTACACCCTCCCAAAGCTCTATCAAACAAAGATACCCCTTTCGGCATCACCAAAATGCAGTTTAATGCTAAGGTGTCAAGGCTTATTTGTTTGCTTTAGTAAGTGTTTTACGGCACTTGCAACAGTGTTAAGGCTTGGTTTTCTTCCTTTTAAGGATTTCTGACAGAAACAGAACAACAAAATAAAATCTCTAGTCTCTGGTGTAAAAAGTACTCAAACGAACTTTAATGGATTGCTTATGACACTAACGATATTCCCTACACTTGAGTATTAGGATCTTTGGTGGAGACCTCAGTGCTCTTTTGGCATATTTTTTGGTCTTTCTGTTTCTGTTTAATGTAATATTATACAGTATAGAAAGTATACTCGTTTTCAGCCAATAAGCATTGCAAGCAACTACAGTTGTAGCTTTTCATAAGTTTCTCCTTGTAATAAAATGTATGCCGTCGATTTTACTGCTAATAACTGTAATTTCTCTTCTGTTTGTGTTTTGGCCCAGAATGTTCTGGTGAAAGATATCAAGTGGAATCCTCTTAAACTGAACACTTTTAATATGAAAACAGCAGTAAACCGAAAGAAAATATAATCCTTGATTTTATTACTTTCTATTTGAGCAGCCTTGTTAAACGAAAAAAACATTGGCTAAACCACAGAAAATCCGGCAGATTTCGGTTTTATCAAACTCCACGGTACATGGTATTCATTTCTTCTTCCTGTCTGCCTGTCTCTCATTTGTGTACATGACAGTAATTGTGATGATGTTTCTGTTGCTTTCAAATTCTTTGTAGTGATGTGGTTCTTTTGTGTTCAGATTTGTTTGTAGTGATGTGATTCTCTAAAGTGGGTGGTTGGCATGTGCTCTGGTGTGGCTTGCTCCTTTTTTTCCCTATCAAACATCGTTGGTCTTTATTTCTTCTCCTTCTCTACTTTATATGTTACTCCCTAGCAGCACCTCCAATCTTTGGCACTTATATGACCTGTTTGTGTTTCAATTGCTGTAAATCTCTTTCTAAAACTGAAATTGTGTTCAGATTCTTTGTAGTGATGTGGTTCTCTTGCGTTCAGATTCTGTCTTGTCCTTACCTATTGCCATTGATATAATATTAATTTAAACCTTTCTAATGTAACACTTGTGCTGGATTCCCAAGTACTGTTACTAGTAAAAGTTCTTTCCACACTGTTGTTCCAATGAATATATATGCATGTACATCAGTTCAATGAATTACTATTTACAATGAAAATGGTGTTAAGATATGAAAATTCAAATTATTTTTAATTGTCTATTTGGATGAATATCTGTGGCTTCTGAAATTTTGAAATGTTAAGGCAATATGTTATCTGCATATTTATGTTGTCTGTTTATGCATTTATGAGTATACTTGAGCATCCGGCCGACTCAGGTATTTGTCAGCTGAAAGACTGGTCAGTGTAAATTGCTTTGATCAATATAAAGCCCCTAGGGTTCATTTGATGGCGAGTGGGTGCTGAACTATACAGTCCAGCACGCACATAGTAATGAAATTGGGGGGATGCGGAAATCTTTTATAACACAGCATGTATATAGATCTACACGTTTTAAATGCAAAGAAATACAGTCGAACCTATGTAGGACGGAATCGCAAGGGAGCAAGGAAAAAATTTCATTTTAGAGTGTAGACAGGGGATTTAGGGAGGAGATGGGGGGGGGGGGGGTTCAAAGGCCCTGCTGGTGGGATCAAGGGTCGCTTGTCCGGTAAGCAAGCAGTGGCCAAAACTTCACACTTCTCAAAGTTCTACTATCCTCTCTGATAATGACAGGCGTCAGTCTTACTTATCCAATTACCACCAGTGCTTGCATTTCACAGGACCACTGTTTGACCTATTAAAAACAGAAACGACTGAACATCTCCTTCGCTTCCACCTTAAACCCCGCCCATAGATGTAACAAGCACAGTCAACCAATCCAACCCTTCACTGCCATGTAAAAACGATTTGGTTGTACAATCAGAGTGGCAGGCATTTTCAAAAAAAAGTATTAGTAGAGGTTTTACGGCACTTGCAACTGCATAAGGTCATATGAGCGCCAAGGGGTGGATGTCAACAGAGAAGTCTGCGGCAGGCATTGGTAAGACTAATTTCACAGCTCTGGCTTCTGGCTACCCAGGAAAGTTTCCATGGTGGCTTGCTACTTGAGCGCTTCCACTGGCACTCGTGAGATTTCACACCCACACCCCTGACCATCTGCATCGCTCAAGGCTCACATTATAGATGGGGTAACATTTATCCCCAAATTGCACCCCTATTCCCCTTCCTCACCCGCCAGCATGGCACTAAGTTTAGAGCCGGTGGAACCAAACTTGCGAGTTCTGTTTTAAATCAGGGCTGGTCCGGCAAAGCATTTTCCGTCTTAGACAGGAAAATGCTCCAAAGGGAGGGGATTTTTCTTTGCGTTTCCACATTGGATAGGTTTCCGTTTTATACAGGTAATTAAAGAGGAATTTATCAAGGGGGGAGTGAGGAGATTCCGTTAAGACAGGTTTCCGTCTTACACAGTAGATCTCCATTTAGGGAGGTTCGACTGTACACTTATAATTATAAGAAAAAATGTAGGTCCCGAAAATCTGTTTGCTATGCGTGTGTTTGTTGTGCGTGCTGGACTATTCTATATTTTTATTGTCTTGACTGATCCAGTTTGATGTGTTTGCCAGCTGTTTCAGTTCAGAGAGGAATGAATTGTGAAATAAGAGTTACCTTCATAAAGATTTGGAAATAATATCTTGTGTCCTTGCTTATTTATGTTTTGAATTTATATCCCTTGGCATAAGCAACTGACCCAATGTTTATCGTTGGCAAGCTTTTCAACTGCACAAAGCTGAGAAAGCCAAATATTTTTAACGACTGAGGAAAACGTGTTTCATTCTTTTAACAATTGCACCTACCGTATATCATCTGTCTTTTCTTGCTTTTTAAAACATCTAGAATTTGAATTTCGATAAATGGTTTCTTGATCATCCGCAATCGATACCAAATATCACAGATTAGAAATTACAAATTTTTTTAAAATATTCAAAATTTTGGGCTTAGAGCGTCTGAACAACTGGCTGCAGATGAATATATGACATTCTGTGGCAAGCAGCACGCTATAGTTTCCTTGGGACCTCTTTATTATTGATTTTTTGCTTTCAAAATAAACTGAGCAAATAATGTGATCCTGCCTCAGTCCAGAATTTAGAATATAAGGCGTTGATAATGTGCTGGGGTGAGAAAAGACGTCTTTCCATGTCTAAAGGAATGTAAATCGTCATTCACTTGATTTTTAGAGTTCGTCTTGAAATCTCTGGATTCACAAGTGTTCTGTAGCTGAATGTACCTATCCAGAGGGCATGTCAATTCTGAAACTTTTCTGTTGACACAAAATTCTGTTTCCTGCAAGTAATGTTAAGCTCCTCAACCTGAGACCATAATATTATTCAATTGCTCGCTTTTAAGCACAAGGGGGCTATCTGGGAAAATGCTTTTTTGAAAAAATCGCAGGTTAAGTTTTTAGACCCTTGTTCAGTTTCTTTAAAAGAGAATTGAGTTTTCTCTAAAACCAAACAAATATACACACCAATGAAACAAAATTCTCCTATAGGTAGGGCAATGCCCACTTTTGGTGTAGGTCAAGATTTCTGGAACCTCCCCCCCCCCCCCCCCCCCGAAATCTGGGTTAGCCCACTTGTCCCTAAAAAAGCGACCAATTGATTCAAAGATTTTATAAAAAATGTAGGTGTTTTTTTAAAACTCCCCCATCGACACAATTTAGACTATTTATGAGGTAGGCTTCTGACCTTGTCAGAGCCAAACTAGGCAGAGAGCGGTACAACATCCCAGAAGAAAGACTGAGATACTCGATAAATATTTTCTCCCCACTCAAGAATTGAACTCCGTCTCTTGCATGCGACAGCAAGGCACCTAACTGCTACACCACAGACAAATCCATTTATAAGTCAACGAAAAAGAAGAATATAACAGAATGTCACAGACTCATTTGTAAGCAAGGTGACTTTGTATGCCTGTGTGTGTTCTAAATTTAAACTGGAAGCAGATAAGGACAATACCAACAAACACATAAAGAATATATTTTTGTGAAAAATAAATATAGCCTTTCCTTTATTCCTCTTTGCATCAGCTACTGTTAACATACAAAAATTAATTAAGCAAAGAAGGCAAAATTCAGAAAAAGGCTGACATTATAAGTTGAGATTATGTCCAGTTTATGTCATGATAATGAATGACATGTTACACAACTAACTACATGTGCTATGTTAGGATACATTTCAATACATATTCAAAGTGATCCTTGGACCTGGCTGGTAGACATCATTTTCTGTACAGCCTATTTGCTTCTACCGGGATCAGGTTATCAGAAACATTTTGTAGTCCTATTATAAACCGAAGGAACTACTAAAAGTAATAAACATATTTTTTGAAGGAAATGAAATGGGCAGAGGGAAACATTCATATTTTGAAAAATTTTCATGAAACAAACAACCCCCCCCCCCCCCCCCCCCATAAAAAAAGGGATTTTTTCTCCGGTTAATCATAGTTTTTCTTACTTTTACACACCCCCCTTTTTTGGAGGGGGTACTACATAACGTTCTGTGACCAAACTCATTTTTACTACATTATTCAGGAATGTCTACAAGCTCATACAAAAAGACCTTGAAGTGATTTTAGGCTGCACAGAAAATGTTGCCTTGTGACTATTCTTCCACATTATCACAGTCATTCTACGTGACGGATGTGATGTGATCAGCACTTACAAACAAGATGAACAGTGGACATGGCAAAAAAATTATATGTTTACGAGCTGCATAGTTTTTGTAAAATGTTTGTGAGTAAATCTTTTTTTTTTACATAAAAAAGTTGACATTAACGAAAATGTCAAAAGTGTAAATCAATTACAGTGGCGAGACAAGGTCAATCAAACTGAGACTTAATTAACCAAGAAGGACATAGTAATCGGTTCATTTACAAAGTACTCAATGTGCTAGGAAATAAAAGCCGCACATTTTGGCAGTTAAAAGATTATGGTTGTGAGGCAAAATGGTGAAGAGTGGAGATATGTGAGTACATGGAGCTACAAAAACAGCATGCAACTTGGAATTTCTCAGATCATTCAAGGAAAAAGAAACAACCTTTATATATATACAAAACCATTAGCATAATACTATTCAAAATCAGTCAAAGAATGAGGCAAAAGTAGACAAAAATATGTACCTCGTCTGACGTACGTTCTTACTTTTGTTACAGAATACAAATAACACGAAAACAATCTTTTCCTTTCTTATACGGTATATAAAAATATTGAAGGCATAGCTCTCCTTATCAGGGCTTGCACATCAACAGTCTGGAAAGAGCAAAAATTTGTACAGCTCAACCTTTCAAACAGTTTCCTCTAGCACTGCAAATCGTCCTGAACTTTAACTTAACTGATCACTATAATTTTTTTAAATTGAACACTTACGTCAATTATTATTTAAGCATGCCCCTTCAATATTATATGACACAAAAGAGATGATTACCATCAAGTATTAAAATCTAATGGTATATAAACACTTAGTAATGCTTGGAATAATTTCATTCCACATGACTCCACTAAGAAGCGAAACAATTTTATTCTTGTGAAAACGAAATCACAGAAGCGAAAATTGTACATTATTTCTATATATATGTAAATGAAAACGCTAGGGCAAAAGACCAGTCATGTGGACATGATTGAGGTAAGAACTTGGCACCATGGGGAACAAAGGGACGGTCGCTCGTGCTACCTCCAGGCCGCCCGTCGTGATGAGGATGGGGATCCTGAGGAGAGAAAGTGATAATCATAATGGGACCAATCAACACAAGAACATCACAGAATCTGTCACATTTTGTTTCGACTCCAGATGTCTACGAGTCTATTCCAATTTCTGCTGAATTAATTTTTTTGCTCGGATAGATTTAGACCTAAGAAAACTCCGATACGATACAATAATACTATAGCACAGAAAAGTGCCAATGACCTATTTCCATGGCGAAAGTGATTTTACCAATGTCTCATACTCATATCCATGATTCTAATATCCAGGAATAGAACACCTGGAAATACTGATAATTTTATTAAAATTATTCTGAAGAAAATAATAAAAAGTCTTCGTCTTGCTTGCTTGCTTGACAACAAGATGAACATGGCCAAGTCATGTTCCTCTGAAATTGTGACTTGTGGAATGTTTTTTTCATTCATCTATCTGATTGACACTGATTGGTGCTTTTATACAGTCCAGAACTCTGCAGATTGGTAAACATTTTCCATATATCTATCAATAAGGGAAAAAAAAGTAACCTTGGATTCTGAGATGATGGAGCAGCTATCATTAAGGTTTTGAAACACTTGACACAATACTTCAGAAAAGGTTCACATAACGTTGCAGCGTTTATGATCATATGGTTAGGCTGGTGGGCTCCCAATCAAAAGGTCATGAGTTCGAACCCAGTCAGGGGCCCAATGTGGCGTTTTCTAGGGAAAAGTATGGTACTTAAAACAAATTTTCCTTAATTCACTCAGAAGGAAATGGATACCCAGCTACAGACAGCAATTGTCAGTTTTTTAATGTTTGAACCCTAAATCGACTGCCTGCACTGTAAGCTTTCTGGGAAGCTGAAACTGTTTTTAAGTGTTCAAGGGTTTGCTTGGGTAAAAATATAGATAGTAAAGCACACAAAGCTTGCAGTTGAGTGCTATACAAATGTTTTTTTAATTATTATTAGTTCTATATCTATTCTAAAGTCTCTACGACTCCTAATCCCCTGCCATTAAGAACACATCTGGGGAGGAAGAAAGAAAGAAAGAAAAAAGAGAGAAAGAAAGAACCCTCTCATTTGACACAATGTGAGACATATTAATAACAAGTTGATCTAACGTAACAACTACCGCAATCAGTCTGCGCCTGCCTACTCTCTTTTTTTTTTTTTTTTTTTTGCTTTATAAAAACTAATAATCATACAAGCAGTAGCCTTCAGAAAGCATTTCCATCAACTTTAATGTTCAATTTTTATGGAGAATAAATCTGTAAAGAAAATGCCCCACGTCAATATTCATGCTGATGCTCTTGAAATGCTCATGGTGGCATGCTCCATACCTTATAACCCCCCCCCCCCCCAAGAAAAAAAAGTAAACTCATTTACAAACATTTACAAACACTCATTTGAGCATAAACATTGCAAAAACAAAACAAAAATTCATTCTGCTGTAGAAACAAATTTTTTGTATCTCTCTTCTGTCATTTTTTGATAAAAGCTAAAAGTAAAAATAGATAGGAAGTACATAACCATTTAACTATCTTCATTTCCTTGCTGAAAAAACCTTTGACACAACTCACCAGAGTACTCTCCTTCGCTCAACTGCTGTTGCACGTTCTCCAGATAGTTGAGGAAGTTGTCGTCGTCACTGTCTGTTTGCCGAGGGGTTCTTGGGCTGGGCGACTCCTGACTTCTTCTTGCCTCCTCTAGGAGCAGGTGTCTGCAAGTAAGGAGATTCACAACTAGATCAGGAGCAGCAGAAAACTCAGCTAACACTGTGACGCAACAAAACCCTTGATACATTATAAGCTCTCTGTGAAACTGAAGTTTTAAATTGATAATGTTCATTGCAAGATCGGTTCTAAAATTTTCTTAAGTTCTTCATTCGCTTTTACAATTACAAGAGTCAAAATAAAATGGCATTAGATGTAACAATAATTTTGCAATTATTTATCCATTCACTTCAGTATCAAGAGAGCCATAAATGTACCAACTGGGTTATCCTTGAGCACTTTCTCTGACATCCTTTAAAATTTCAAATAGTCTGTTACATTAAAGCAGATGACACTACTACTTTTTCATGAAAAGTGTCAGTCAAGATTTATTTTTAACTCTAAAAACAATGTACCAAAAAGACTATTTCTATGAGAAAATGTCAAGCAAACTTTACTATGCATTCACAATGAAGGAAAATTAATCAGAAAAACTGTTCCCTCTCCTTACCTCCTCACTGTCTCTCTGTCCCCTCTACTGCTAGTGGTTCTGTGGTGTAAGAGTTCTTTGGTGGGTGGAGTGGTGTGGTTATTGTTGTTGCGGTACGTTGAGAACTGTGTTCTGCCAGTGGGGTTGGCCACTGATGCAAGGGTGGAGATGTCCCCGTTGGTGAGGGACTCGACGTAGTCGCTGCTACTGCGTGTGGTGTATGCGCTGCTAGAGGACGGTGCTGTGTGTCGCGAGCCATGTCGCTGAGGGGCTGGGTACGAAGTAGAGCTTGGCACATATGCTGGAAACGGAAGCAAAGCAGAACATCAGCACGACCAAAAGGCAGCATTTATCTAACTTAAAAAAAGGATGAAGTTGGTTAATTTAAAGTTAAGTACCTGGCACATATATTAGGTACCAGAAACTAAATTTTCAAAGTAGCTGTATGCCAAATTTATCTGTTCCATTTGAAAGGCCTATATCCACTGAGCATTTTGGTACCATTCTTTAACCTCTCCGTCAATTTTTAAGAAAATTGTAGTTGTTTAAAATTTGATCAAATTTGTTAAAGTCAGTCACTGGCTGCAACCCCATGTTTGACAGATAATAAAAAAAGTACCAAGGGCACTAAACATCTCCACATTAACACAGTACAATCACTATAACAAATATATGGAGCCTAATTTTTTTCAAGACTGTGAGATCTTTACAAATCAGTATTTTATCGCCTCAAACACGATGATCTGTCGTTATATCGACATAAACACCGAGCGTTGACCCGGCGGCGCACACCGCCCCCCGCGGCGAGCGAGTCAGCTCTATACTGTAGTGTACATGCTTTCCGAGTCTCGCGGAAGGATTGATGAAAAATAGTTAATAACTTTATTCTAATAGAAAATGAACTGATCTTTTAATTGATACCTGTTATAAGTCGGTATTATACATATTTTGTGTAAAAAGGGATCTTTAAACATTTTGACGGTATTTTTAAAAGCTTTCTATAAAGACGCCAAAGGCTAAACTTATATCACGGGAAAGCCTGCTTAAAGCTCTACAGTTCTCCGCCAATGAAAAAAAGGTATTTAATCATCCCTCGTTACACGAAGCATTTGAATGCACGTGTGTCAATTTTTCAACCGGCCGACCTCGCATTCCGACCGCGAGGGGCTTCGCTTTCGTCGGCGATTCTCCAGCTCCTAATAATCTGACATATAAACAACTTACACCATTGTAACGAGGAAAAGCTGAACTTTTACAAGGTGTACGGCATTTGGTGTTTTATAGCGAAAGAGCAAAGAAACAGCGATCGGAATTACCCCGATTTTACCGATACCACGCGGTCGGAAGTCCGCGAGTGCCCGCGAGGCCGTGTTTACGCTACCTACAGATATTTAAGATGATATTGTTATACTTTTTCTTTAAAAAAGATTTCGCAAGCAGAATTCGAGTACAACTTTGATACTTTGCAACATAACTTTAATGAAAACGTCGACAAAATCATTTTCTCATAGTCTTAAATGATAAATCTACACATGTGTATGTAACAAGTAAGGGCATCTTTCTGGAAACCTTTTTTTTTTCTTCAGAAGCCATGAACTCAGCTATGACTTGGGTATATATACTGTAAATGAATATACTATTCCATCATTCTCATAACTTCGATAGTGGAAACTGAATTCTAGAAAGTCTTCCTTCTCACAGAAGACCCAGTCTTCAGAAAAAAGACGTGACACAGTTTTAAGCTCGATGTCAGTGACATCATAAGTGTAACGACTGTGAACAGAACTCACCGTGATTTTGATTGATTTGACCAGTCATGACAGGAGAGCCTACTCGTGTCGCACGCTTCCATTTCTTAACCAGGTACTTCATCCTGACAAGAAAAAGACCAAAACGACTTTACAAATGTAAAACTACTGCTAAAACTCAAACCCAATTATATTGTGACAATGATAATGCATGAGTAACTTTAAACTTGATGAATCTTGTTAAAAATTTACCTTATGAAAAGATTAAATTTCAACACAGGACTGCAACACAAGAGTAACTGACATTGCAGTTCTTAATCTGAGACTAAACTTAACCCTGCCTACCCACCCCCTAAAAATAACTCATAATGCACAAGCCAATTAGTTTTAGTTTTAGTTAGAGTTTTATGGCACTTGCAACACAAATATGCCTTTTAAGTTCAGAAGATAAGGGGTGATACTAGAGAGTATCAATAACTATCAAACAAATAAAAAGAGGAGGGATAAGGACAGATAGTTGACAGGAAAAAAGAGCAAAGCACATCAGAACATCTACCAACCTCCCACCGAGGCAATAAAGTCAGATTCTTCCACCAGAGCTAACTTGCAATCAGTAAAACATATAGTATAGGTCATATCAATGCCGAAGACTAGAGGTGTTACTAGAGAGTAACATAAAAGAAAGAAGAGAGGTAAGGATGATATTTATCACGGAGCAAAGAGCAGATCACACCAAGGAGATTAGGTCTGCTGGGGTAATAATATAGATTGTCAAGTGCACAGAGCTTGCTGTTGAGTGGGAGTTTGCGCTATACAAATGCTCTCTATTATCAATACTCTCTCAGCAGAGCTCACCTGTATATTGCAATGACCACTCTCCCTGCAGACCTGAACACAGTGAAGGCGCGGGTATGTATCCTCCGGCAGTGCAGACCCGCACTGGGAGAGGGGAAGCCACCCATGGAGGCCAGGATGGCCAGAGTCTCGTGCTCCGTGTCGCGGTATCCCCCCAACAGTAGGAGCAGGTACTTTTTCTGGTAGATGAGGGCTTTACGGAAACTCTCTGCTCGGAGATACTTGCCGTACAAACGTTGGCTCTGAAAGGAAAGTACAAGAATTCTGTTATGTTTACATATTAATTATTGAACCCACATCTGTGGTGTAGTGCTTTAGCGCTTCGCTGTCACACACAAGAGTGTGTTTACGGGGCGCGCTGCCAGCCTCGTGGCCAAATCCCCTGTGTATTTATGGAATGCGCTTTATTTATTGATCGATATCTCCGGAGTTTTTCGGTTACAAGCTACGGGAAACGGCAAGCCCACGTTTGACCCATTTGTTTCATTTTGCAAAAAATTTGGTGAAGTTATGAGCAATACCCTTTGAGCTGTAATGGATTTAGTCAGTCACCCCCGTATTGCAATAGACGATTTTATTATAAGTTGGGAGCAAACAAATTTGCGTAACCCCCCAGACATTGCCATTTTAAATATTGACAAGTAAAAACTATTCAGATAAATTAGATGCAGTTTTCTTTTTCTATGAGAGCATTTCTTTCTTTCTTTGTTGCATTAAAAAAAAATTATGACAGCTTTCACAGTCTTTTTCTGGTTAACGATTCAATATACCCCACAACTGTCAGGCTGCAATGGCTGTTGTGTGAAAAATAGCTCAGGCTCAAGCGAGTTAATTACTGAATCAGCACTTGTGGCGTAGTAGTTAGGTGCTTTGCTGTTACACACAAGAGACCCGAGTTTGACTTTGTAGAGAGGAAAAAATTTCTATCAAGTATCTCAGTCTTTTGCTGGGATGTATTCCTCTCAGCCTGGGTTGGCCCTGGCAGGCAAAGTCGGAAACCCGCCTCCTAAATAATCTAAATTGTGTTGATGGGGGTGTAAAAACATGTATATATTTTTTTAAACATGTTTTTTAAATTCCTGAGAGGTTTCTGGAGAGCCGTATCAACATCAGGCTTGCCAACTTTTTCTAAACCCAATCAGGGACACCAAACACTATAAATGAATAAATGAATTACACTTCATTGATCCCTGTGGGGACATTTGGGTTACAGTGACAAAATGGATAAATAAAAACATAATTTTAAATACCTACATAAATACTATACCAGTGCAGAACAATTTCAAAAACATGCCATTGCTGATCGCCACTGTGCACTGCTATGGCCTTTTTTAGCTAGGCAGGTCGTGTATTGCTAAATGACACGCCCCAGTGACCATCAATCCAAATCCTGTGTCACAGACACATACTTGACATTACTTTTGAGTTTGAACTCGCTACTCACTTGGCCACTGGAGTAACAATGAACAAAAGTACACATTAGGTGAGACTGGGTTTGGCGTAGTGTATGTGAAATGGTTAATGCCACAGAGAAATCAAATTACACAGAAGCCAGATTGTCTTATTAACACATCTAAATCAGCTTCCAAGTATATTTCAGAATGTCTTCATGGGGACACTGATGATTATCAAGATTGTGAGAACACTGTTCTCAGATATCTTTTTATTTGTTTTAGTAAGAGTTGCAACATAATTAAGTCATTTAAGTGCCAAAGATTAGACGGGTTACAAGAAAGTAACAAACACAAAAAAGCACAGAGATAAGAACGATAGATGTTTAATAGGAAAAAGGGTAAAAACCACACCAAAGCACCCGCCAATCACCCACTCAGATTTAAACACTTGGAAAGGTACTGTCCTTAAACAGGGAGACCACACAAACTTCATACCTTGTCCACATCCACACGACTGGCCTGACCATCGGAGTTCATGAGACTTCGGAACTGTCTGATCTCACCACGCAGTCTCTGAATCTCGTGCTCCGCGGAGTCTAGCGCCATCTGCAGACTGAGCCGTTCACTGGCCCAAACCGTGCGGTCATAAACTCCCTCCTCATCACTTGTGCCATCCGAGGAGTAGCGAGGCATGCTCATCTGAACAGATACAGGGTAAAGATGCTAGCTGTGAGGTTAACAAGGACATTGCACAGTAATCTACACCTTAACACATGTCATACAAAGGCACGCTCCATCGAAACACACGCTTTCGCCATATGACTGGTTTTTTTTATACCATACGATTTGGATGTGCAAATGCACGATCACTTCCTCTACAGGCTAAATGCATATTTCAGGCTGTAAAACATGCTGGCAGGTAACAAACTTAACAAAGGGAAATATTCCCAACAACTTAGATAGTGGAAATTACTGTATATAAGTGAACTTTAGACAATTCTTCTGAAACAAAATAATTATGATTGAACTGACAGAAAGTCTAGAACCTCAAAGAAAAGGAATATTTTCTCCTCCTTATCTAAACTCAGCCAGGCCTTTACTGAACAAAATGCAACAAAAACAACTGATATCATTCCCAAAACAATGACAGAGTGTTTAACTATAAACATCACAAAGGTGCAAAGTTTAAATTAACTCTTTATCTCCGGCAAACCGCTCCCAGCAGTTCGCGGTTGGAACTGCTGTGCCGGTGAGCCACGGACAGCGGCTCGGGCACATTCCTTTGCGACGACTTCCACATCAAATTACTTTTCGGCAATTGCCAAAAAACAGATTTCTTTTACCGGAAGTTCATTCATTAGATGAAGTACTATCATAATAGGCTCGCTAGTTTCGATTTAATGACCCATTTAGTGACGTTTTCTTCATTTTTAGATTTAGCACCAAAAAAGGGCCCTAGCGTAGTGGGTTTACCCCCCCTCGGAGATAAAGAGGGAAATCCAAACAGGTTCTAATTAGTTTGGTCTTCTTCTTCATGACTGCACCACACTTGAAATCTGGTATCTATTATACACAGGGTCATCCTGCTCAGTTGTTTGGTCATATTCTTCAAAACTGAAAGAAGTGACGGGTGAACCTAATTAGGAAAGTAAATTTATACATAACAAAACCACAGGGGTCATCAAACTAAAGCAGGTAAATTTAACGACCACAAAAACTCCACATCAGAATAGCCGAAAAGCGAAGACTTGCAACAGAGCACGCTGACAGACAAATCTCTCTCACCTGTTTCTTGGCCTGCACCTGGCTCTCTAGGGTGGCCAGATTAGTGGTCAGCCTCTCCTTTTCCTGCTTGAGGTTGAGGACGTGCTCCGCTAGTTGCTTGTTGTGCTCCATGACCTCGGCAAACTTGCCCGGTGACACAGCCGCCGAGTCGCCCTTCTGAGGGAACAAGTGAGAGGGTCATTATATCGGAAGATGTTAGAAAGAAGAGCAAAATGCACAGACGTCAATTTTCATATATTTTAAATGCCTGTACAGCATAACATTTTCAGAGGAGGCGATTTGTACCTTGCTCTAAGAAGAGAGATAGAAAAGACTGGGACAGAAAGACAACCTAGATTTCTAGAAGTGCAGCAGGGAGGGGGGGGGACACAGAGAGA